ACGGATGTTCGGCATTATATGTACGAAATGGACTACGTTCGGTAATAATACCTACCGAACCACTAAGACTAGCAGAACAGTAGCACGAACAGTTAATTCCCTTATAAACGTTATTGTAATACCCTAGAAGGAGACTGTGGCGAAACCGACCTCGCCACTGGGCATTGGAGAAGACTGATTGCCAGCCTCCTGCCATGTGACTATGGCCCCTGGGATGTATTGCCCTTTAAAGACATGATTTGGGCATAATGGATTTGTGTTGTGCTGCTGCTAGCCCTTTTAAGAACCATCTGGGGACATACTGTGGAGTTACTGGGTGGCCACCATTTCCTGTATCAGAAGCACATGGTGAGAACAATGGATGGCGGACATTTTAACTCACAGACACTGTGTGGACTTTTCAATACGGTGCCATCTCGCCAGTATTTGTTGCACAGAGACATCGTGCGGTGGTTTTGGACTATACAGCAGGGGACACATTATACAGTGATTGTTTTTTATTTAGCCTGTATATGTTCTGCAGAATCTGCATTAAACTGTATTTTCCAAAGTACTGAACGGATCTGGGTGAATTTTGGATATGTGGTTCACCCAGATCCCCCAGTTCCAAGGATATACGCACAGTCTGATTCTATGGAACTATTCTGGGCAGGAGAAGACCTCCATGCAAATCCTGAATCCCTGAACCGATCTGGGTGATTTTTGAATATGTTGTTCCCCTAGATTGGGGCTAACAGGGGATATTATGGGTTTTGGGAGTATTTTCAGATTGTATGAAAATTGTGATATTTTTCGCCTGATGATAATTGATTAAAGACAGCAGTTGACTCAATTATCTCCTAGGTAGAGGGGAGGGATTGTATGTCCTGTATGGGAGTGTCACACTGTTATGATTGGTTGATAATTTTGTATCACTGTCCCCACCAAGGTCCACCTGGGTGTATCCCTTGGCTGGGGAATTGGATAAAACTCCAATCTGGTTACCATTAAAACAGACCTTCTTCACCCTCAATCTAGAGTCTTGTCTCTTATTGGGAAAACTGCTATAAAGCTATCACTACTAGCTCGTGTAAGCGCTTCTCTATTTGGATGATTACTTGGAATGCCGTAATACCCCTCACACTCGGGAGGACACCCTCTGGCGGTGAAAATCCCTCTACTCATCAGGATAACCGCTACAATCCCTTTCTGTGATACCCCAAATTATCCACAAGGGGTCACTATTTATAGTTACATAGCTGAAAAGAGACTTGTGTCCATCAAGTTCAGCTTTCCTCACATTTGTTTTTTGCTGTTGATCTAAAAGGCAAAAAAACCCAGTTTGAAGCACTTCCAATTTGCAACAAGCTAGGAAAAAAATTCCTTCTTGACCCCAGAATGGCAGTCAGATTTATCCTTGGATTAAGCAGTTATTACCCTACATTGAAAGATTATATTCTTGATGTGACGAGCGTGGGCTATAGGCCCAGCCGAGACAGTGGGGAGAGTGTGGAAGTGACAGGGTTAATGACATCATACCCCTGGTTACCTGTTGCTAGTCCCAGCAACCACTCAATTAACCCCTGCAATCCCTTCTACACACTTTACTGCCACCACCAAGACTTTAAACCCGGGCGTCTTAGGTTACCCCACACACAGGAGAATTATAGTATCACAGTTCTACTTTTACTGATAAAACATATATAGTTAACCCCTTTTGGTAACGTGTTTACCTGAGCTTTCCTCTGGAGAGTGAAGCTCATAGAGAACAAAGACACAAGCTGATTAAGTAAACATTTAATCTGACAAAAAGGATTCACAGTGCTGAGTACAAAATCGAGAAATAAATGACATTCAGATAACAAATTGCAAAACAGTACATAAAATAAAATGGGAGAAAACACAAGAAATTCCTTACATATATTTACCCCATATAGAATTCTTGTGGGAGTCTTAGATGGTATAGGTCTCCTAGAAGTTGCTGACAAAAGAAAAATGAATAACTCCCTGGATAGTCCAGCACCCTCATTAATATATCTAAACTCGTTGTTGCTCAGTGGGCAGACCCCTGGGGGGTGGAGGGGGATCAGAGGGGGCTGGTCTGGCAGTCTATTGCCCACTCTATGAAATTCCTTGTGTCCAGCTCTGGTGATGGCTATCTAGATGTTTTATGGTCTAGGCCTGGTGCCAGATCAAAGACCACAATAAATGTCATCCCAAGGTTTACAAAAAAAACTCAACATATATCAATACATCAAACACCAACTCATGCTTTTGGCATGACACTTGAATATTCTGTTTTTGCAAACAAGCTTGTATGCAGTTTGGGAGTTTGAAGCATTCCCTTGTATTCAGTTCGGGAGTTTGAAGCATTCCCTTGTATTGAGTGGGTAGGAGACAGCGTGACCCCAACCAAGCTGCGCCAGTTCGCAAAGTCTGCGGTGGTTGTGGTGTCTGGCAGAGCGCTTGGAGCCCTCAGGAAGCGCTAGGAGCATCCTTCAACGGAGGTACCCAGTCTGGGTGCCAGGGGATCCGTTACACCAACCACCTGTGGGAACAACTTGCACTTGGTGTTTCCTATTACACTGCGTTTCGAGGTCGGCAGATGCCGGTTATCTGCCGACATTGCAATTACAATACCGGGAACTACATTTCCCATCGTACCTAGCGGTCGGGAAACTAAGCCACGCACATGACATCTTCAAATAGCCGAAACCACTCACTACATGCTCGGTTGTTATTGGTCCATAAGTTTATATTTATCAATATGTACCACTGTTTTCTTTATTTATGATGTATACAATAATGATGTTTGCTGATTGGAGGACAGTCTGTGATGTAATTTTGGTGCCAATTTAAACTACTTTTCCCCTACATCAACTCCTACTAGCCAGGCTATATCAGGCCTATATCAGTGAAACGCGTTATGATTATTTGTTGTTGTGTATTTTAGATCAATAAAAGTATTTTGGTTCCTTTACTGTACCAATCCTATTTTTATTGTATTCTTATGCACTTTTATTATTTTTCCTGGCATTTTATTGTTCCTGTACTCAAAGAAATCCGAGGTGGTGATCATAACACCAACGCTTTACCCTTTACCACTAAAGCAGTGTTTCTGTTCTTGTTGCTTGTGAGTATTATTTTATTTCATTTTTACCCATTTTCTATCGTAATTGAGAGCACTCTTGTTGCCTTTTCTATTCCTCTTTGAAGCCTTAAATGACCAAGCGGTGCTGATCGACGCACTTTCTTTATATATTCCATAAACGGGGATTATACCGCTGTAAGACCTTCACAGACCTGGCCATAGCTCTTTTAAATGTGAGTTTTCTACCTCCTCCTATTTTTTTGCACTATTGGCTGCCTCTGACTCTCTTTCTTCCATATAACGAACATCTTGAGACATACTGGCGCACCTATCCCCACTGCAAAGTCTACTCATCTACATTTCATCAAGTATCTCTGATCATTCATTGCTGCTCTAGTGAGATTTTTGGGACTATTTTATTTGCTACTGGCACAGCCCTACTCCATCTTTTTCTATATTATATATATGTTCACTTCCTGTTTATTGGTCTTGTGAGTTGGGAGGTCTCCGACCATTATAGGTCACTCAGGTGTTACTTATGTTTTATTTATGCTTTGGTATAGAAAGGGGTTGTTCTTTTCACAATATGCACCCTTGATAAAGGCATACACGCCAAAATGTTGGGGGGGCTATTTGATTTTTCACCCTCTTCTCACTCATTCTGATATTTTTATTTTCTTCTGGTATGTATTATTTTTGTACAGGTATCCATTCTATTTTGTATCTGGGTTGGTACTATTTATTCTGCATATCTTATTGACTATGCTTAACTTCTGATTTGGATACAGGTTTCAGATTGATTATATAGGTATGGTCCTATCTGTATTGAGATTTGCTGTTAAATATTGTGTAATACCTGTGATTTATGTACCTGTGTAATAAAGTGCTTTTTATTTTAGTTGGTTGAGCTCCTCATTCATTCATCATTATAGTTTACTGATTTATTAGCCTCTGGAAAGAAGGCTTTAGAGTGAGCACCCTTACCCTTGCATTCGTTTGCTTTGCATAGATCATTTGTATATGGCTGATTGTCAGGTGTGCCTACCATTTTTGTGCTAAAACATAATGTTATACACACAGATGCACACCACACTTACAGTCACAGGCAGGAGAAGGTCCATGGTGTCTAGTGGTTGGGGATGCAGGGACTCATTCCTGCTTCCCCCTTGACATTCGGCAGTTTCCAAGCAACGTGTGCTGGTGGCATTCCACTCTGCCCCTGC